CGAGATGCTGGAAGGAGGGACGGCTCGACCTGGTGCCCAAGCCGGGCCGACCTGCGGATTTCCCCTCGGGGTTCAGGCCCCTCGTCCTTCTGGACGAGGTGGCGAAGATCCTGGAGCGAATCATCGCCTCCAGGGTCATCGAACACTTGAGGGGGACAGGCCCCGATGTGTCGCAGCGGCAGTACGGGTTCAGGGCTGGACTCTTCACCCTGGACGCCCTGGAATCGCTGCGACACATCGTAGAAGAGGGTAACGGCGAGAGGGAAGGCGTGGTGGCTGTGTCGTTGTATATAGCCAACGCCTTCAGCACTCTCCCCTTCGCCGTTATCAGGGAGGCGCTGAGGTACCATAATATCCCCAGGTACCTCAGCCGTCTGGTGGAGCACTACCTGGACAAGGGAAGGGAGGCGCGCCGAGCGCCCAATGAGGTGCGGAGTACCCCAGGGGTCCGTATTAGGACCACTACTGTGGAACCTGGGGTACGATTGGGTGCTGAGGGGCGCGTTGTTCCCCCGGACGGCCGGATCGGTCCCGGTCAAGTCCCAGATGAAATGGAACTTCGGGGAGCATTTCCGGCAACTTGCTCCCCGAATAGTGGGCGCCGCATCGGCGTTGGGCAGGCTCCTGCCCAACCTCGGGAGGCCGGGAGCCCCATGCAGAAGGCTATACGCCGGTGTGACCCGAAGTATGGCCTTATACGGGGCTCCCATTTGGAGTGGGGCCTTATCAGCGGCGACGAAGTCGCTGCTGAGGAGGCCCCAGAGGGTGGTCGCCCTGCGAATGTGCAGGGCGTACATGACGGTAGCCTGTGCTGCCGCATGCGTCCTCGCCGGTACTCCGCCGTGGGACCTCGAAGCCGAGGTCCTGGCGGAGGTCCGCACCTACCGGCGGGGAATGAGGGATCGAGGCGAGCGACCCGCTCCCCAAGAGGTGGAGCGGGAGCGCCGCCTCGCGGCGCAGCGCATGCGGGACCGGTGGAAAGAGGGCTTGGCGGATCCCCCCTATGGTGCTCGTACCATAGAGGCGATTCGCCCTGTCCTCGTAGAGTGGGTACACCGGTCCCACGGGCCGCTGTCGTACCACCTTGTGCAGGTGCTGACCAGGCACCTGCTTTCATTTTTATATAAATAATTCCAATTAGTTTTTAATTTTGTAGATGCACATTACACATGAAATTCTCGTTATTTAAAAAAAAAGAGATATGTAAGGTTGTAATTAGTAAGAAATTAAAAAGACGTTGCTCAAGCAAATATTCATACAACTATACCGTTGAAACCATTAGCCGTAGAAAAAAAAGCCAGTAGCAACTAAGCAAAGTTAACGCTCCTAAAAAAAGTAATGGGTGCAGAATTTTTTCCACTAATGGCATGACAAATTCAATGTAAACAGAGTAATTAAGGGCGCCTTCAAATTAATCGCTTATAGAAGTGCTATAGTGGCGCCACTGTCGTCGTGACACACGCGCCACTTTTACAGTGACAATTCGAGAGAGCCACGACGCTTCTAGCGAATTCGCTTATTGCTACAAGCATCGAGTATATAACCAGAAACAGAGACGAAATAAGGGCCCTCCGTCTCTGGCAACACATCAGGCAAATGGGCCTTATATGAATTTTACATATCAACTCTCGTTTCCGCTGAAATCACAAATTAGAAAGCTGAAATAGTACAGCGCCATCTCCGTATATTCCAAAAACGTTCTGTATTTATTGTAACAAAGATAATATGTCTAACTATGGGGGTCTGTTCCATTTGGTGTAGTGGGAAAAGCAGCAAAACATCTAATTACAAAACAACCGTGATCACATTTCATCGGTAATTAAATGTTAAATATATAATTTTTCAATTTTCGTCCATTATAGCAAAGGTCAAGTTAAACTTGTCGATTTGTAGTGAAACAATTGATGTTTCGAATTCGGGATGGTAATCGAAGCGCAGTTGTCATTGTAATGATTTGGCAGAATAGTTTTCAAACAGATTAAACAACATTTCATCTCTATTTCTGGTTATATACTCGATGGCTACAAGTGTCAGCGTTGGGCATCAATTACAAATATGTGGTTTTATTTATAAAAGGCCACATAGTAGCACTGCCAGTTGCAGCGAAATTCGCTACAAGCGAATTTGTACGAGTGTTACGCGCATTATTTGCGGGCGAGCACAACAATTTTCAAGAAAGTTCCATAGTGTGCATGAAATTGTCGCTGCGCACGTCAGTGTTTGAAACAAATTATTTTGTTTTCATTTGTTGTTTGGTCAGGGGAGACGTATCAAATATTGGATACGTGTACAATAATGGAAACCCGGCTATAATGAAAACTAAACAACACAATCTTATTTAAAAACTAGAACTACTTCAATGTAAGTTACCAATATTTAGCTATACTCCGTCCAACCATTTATTTAACTTTTGACTCCTCGAATTCTAATCAATAAGTAATGTCCTAATGCGTTTCCGATTGGATTTTTTTATAACAATCTTTTATAAAGAGATTTTTTATAAAGTTTAAATCGTGAATGTGAACGGGTTCAAAAAAGATGATATTGTGATGTTGCGTTTGACAATTTGTGTACCTTGAATTTTTATTGAATTGATATTCAATTATTTTTTGTGAAATTACTTCACTAGTTTGTTATAACTAAATTAAACAAAATAAAAAAATTAAATTAATACAAAGATCTCAGAAAAATGTTTTCGAGTATTCGATCTTTGTATTAATAATTATACCTAACAAACTAGTGAAGTAATGTCACAAAAAATAATTGAATATCAATTCAATAAAAATTTAAAATACAGTGAATAGCGACATCTCTCGCCAGGATCGGTAGCTGTAAAGGTACTAACTGCGTGATAAATCTTTCATAGATTTCTCATAAATGGCGCTACGACTAAAAAGTCGTTGAAAAACCAAATACAAAGACGCAAGCACATAGAAAAATTCGTGAGGTCCGCTGGTTCGTTCCGTGGCTTAGTTGGTATAGCGCCTGTCACGGTAAGCTAGAAGACGTCGCTCGGTTCGAATCCGGCCGGATCGAAGAAATTTTTTCTGAGTGTTCGATCTTTGTATTAATAATTATAATTTGTGTACCTACTCAAAAATGAATAATTAATATTAACGAGGATTCAAGTGATGATTCTCATTCATATGGATAAGAATCCGACGATTCATTATAATAAACAAGAAAAATTTATTATAATTATTTATAATTTATTTCATTTCATTATAATTTATTACACAGGTACCGAAATGAATCAACTTGAATAATCTTCGATACCTAATCTGTTGGCTCGATAAATATTGGAGCTAAGGAACACGTCGCGTCAGTAAAATTAAAAAATAAAGAGTTTGTTGTCTATTGTTGTGTGTCAATAATAACGGATTCGCTCTGGGCCTTTTGGAGGGAGAAATGTCGTTTTTATTTTGACTTTCAATTATTTTGTGAAATCTAGTTTAAAGTGGAATAGGATAGTGCTATTGCGCCTTAATCGAAGATTAAAACGCGAAATTATACGAATCTCGAACTAAAATACCTGTATCGGCTCGTTCTAAGGAATCCCGAGTCAATCCAAGCACGCTGCCTCAAATTGCCTATCCTCTTTGTGGTGGCCATATTTACATAAATATAATTAAACGTTTATGTTTTCGGCTGAAGGACTTTGTTTCCATGGCCAGCAATAAATTAATAAATAATTAATCAATAATAACGAAACTTTGGAGAGGCATGCATATGTTAAAAGTTAAATAAATGGTTGAACCCTAGAGGATGGAAAAAGTCTAAGGGTTGAACGGAGTATAGTCGTCTGCGTCATTTTTGCCTCCATTTCGCTGTTAGCGTTCAAAGTATATGTTTCCGTTCGAGGTTTTTTTCAAATCTTGATTAAAAACGCGAATAAAGTACCTACTATAAGTGATATTATATTTTGTAACAGTGTTACATACTAGCTAGGTACGTAGTTAGAATACAGAACTAAACGCAGTTTAGCGATAATTGAGCAGGGTGAAATTTTCGTAACCGATTATACATAAGAAGATCATGCATATTTAAAGTACATTCCTCCAAAAATATTGAACAATATTAAGTATTCAAATCGTACAAAAGAATTTTACTTGACTTCTCTCCGCCGCTGAAGACGATGTAAGTGAATTATCAAACTTCGTGGGTGTATTTTGACGCTTTCAACGAATTGACGCTTCAAACGTGGCGATATTTTCGTGGCCGAGGCATAGTGAATTACAAGGTAGGAAGGCAAGTCACGGTCCAAAAACTTTCTTATAAATTTCCCACGGAACACCAAATGAAACTTCCTTAGCGATAAAACAGCTTTTAAGTAGTTTATCATAAGGTTCCCTTGTTGCCTTACAAAATATTAGCAACAACAGCTTTCCAAGGTAACAATTTTCCGTTTCCTATTAAAGCCTTCTGAATAGAAATCACGTTATGACCTTCCTTCTGGACAATTAAATAGAGTGACTAAGGTGAGTCATTAAGGCGATTGTTTGTTTCACAATACTCAAAGGGGTATATTTATCCTTTATTGCGAACTTCGCATTGATGGTTAAAATATCTCTACGTCGCACAAATTTTATTTGTGTAATATACTTTGATCGAATAGATGCGAACATTTAGTAAGTCTTTTTTAATAGAGGGGATCTCTCAGTAAAAGTTCTTTATATTGACTTATAGAGGAACTCCCTCGAAATATCGTGGCGCAAATGCTTTGAGTAAAGCGTCGTGACATTGCATTTTGCATTACCTAAAATAAGTATGAAGGGAGGATTGAAATATCGAAGATTAGAGACCCATGCAAGTATGTGGAGAGATATGGAGAAACATGGAGATAAGTGGAGATAAAAGGAGATAAGCGGACATATATTCAACTAAATGAAAATAGATACGTTATTAAATAGACAGGATACAGCAAACAAACATTTAATGTATTTAATAGTAAATATCTGAACAAATTACATAGGTGATAAAGGTGTAAATACGCAACTTACCGAAGGAATGTCGTATTTATGCCACGGCCGCATGATACAATCTTTTGTTCTGGTCGTGCTGTCGACTAGTATCGAATATTCACGTGCTGGCCGCCCTGGAACAAAAAAAAACTATTATATTTTCACTAGTAAAACATAGTTAGTTGGTGTGTTCACTTGAAATGCTTATGGAAAATAACAATGATTCAGATTACTTACTTCCGTAGAATCATTAGAGTATATAAGCGGTGGCAGGGGTTTCTTATCGACACCCTACCGACTATTTTCCGGTTTGATAAATTAAGGAAAAAACCTCGCAAGAATCTCACGGCAGAGCATTTCAAGAGATTTTTAAATACGAAATATATCACGTATTGTAATGTTACACACGAATACAGACATGTTTTTAGCAGCTACCTTTAAATATTTAACATTTAGAGGCTTAAGAAACACAACACAGGACGCCTTTTTTATGAAGACACCTTGCAGTTGGCATCGGACAAAAGGGCATGATGAAGGCTCTCTTAACCCGTATAAAAATTCCTGCGGGCGATCTGGTGCGCCCTTCACCCTGAGACATAAGTTGACAAACGCTATATGCCTGTAATTTCACCAGCACCCTTACCCTTCAAAACCGGAACGCAGTAATGCTGGCATGACATTACTGCTTGGCGGCAGAAATAGGTATGGCGGCAGTACCTCCCTGGACGAACTCTTTCACAAGGAGCTCTACTCCTACTAAAAATGACATAGACAACTATGATAACGCCATACAAACGTAACAGCGCGTTTTGTATGTGTGCACACGCGCGCCGTATACGGACGGTAATATTCGCATAACCGCGATGCACTCGCGTTGCGTTGTGCGGGCCGAAAGACTTCAAATCTTACAGTGGAGGGTAGGTGGTATATGTGGGTATCTATTAATATTGTATTTTCTGTAAACCTTCATTCGAAAATAAAAGGCAGTCTTGTATTGCGTAGTTTCAATGGTGGCTCGTCATTTACCTAATTTCCTTATATAAACTAATTGGCGACGAGGTACACAGTGAAATAGTATTTTAAGTTTATATTAAAAGTGCGTGTTACTATGACAAGTAATAGTGCAAAGGATATGAGCGGTATAAAAGAATTTAAGGTGCATGTAGACCGATGGTCTACATACATGACACGTTTGAAAGCTTGGTTTACGATCAATGACATCAAACCAGCCGAACAATCTAAATATTTAGTGGCTGCCGTCGGTACAGAAGCCTTAGACCTAATTATAGACCTTTGCTATCCTGATAATCCGGAACAGACATCATTGAATGATATTGAAAAGTTGGTAGAAGAACATCTTTCGCCCAAAAGGTCTGTCATTGCAGAGAGAATGATATTTCGATCGTGTAAACAACTAGAAAATCAATCAATTAGTGAATACCTAGTGCAGCTGAAAAATTTAAGTAAAGCTTGCAAATTTACAGGCACTGATAATCTGAAAGAACATTTACGTGACCAGTTCGTACACGGTTTATATAGTGAACGCATTCGCCAACGAATTCTGACAGAGAAAGATGAAGAGTTAACGTTCGCCCGCGCCGCGGAATTAGCTTTATCGCTGGAGGCGGCAGTGCGAGACTCAGGCGACGCCGCGCGACCCCATACGACGAGCGGTGACGAGGATGCTGTTTACGCGGTGAACAGTCCTAGCCGTAGAGGCGGCGCTGGAGACGACGGGCGAAGGATGCAGGGCGCGCGTCGCCAGACAGGGCCCGGGGTAAGCGTGCACGGGGCCGCCGGCGCTGGTGCCCCGCGATGCTATCGGTGCGACGGAAAACACTATGCGGAAAAGTGTTCGTTTATAAATGCGGAGTGTTACGTGTGTGGTAAAAAAGGTCACATCGCAAAAGTGTGTCGTAAGCGTATACAAACATCGGTTCACGGTATTACTGGTGAGTTTGTGCCTCAAACACCGGCATCATCGTCGGATTCTGACGATAGTAGTGCGGTAACCGTGTACAACCTCAGCGACGAGGAATCCGATAAGAAATGGAACGTTCAAGTGAAAATCAACGGCGTGTTGATTGCGATGGAAGGTGACACGGGCTCGTCGGTGAGCATTGTTTCGTATGGGACTTATAAGAAATACACACATCAAAAGTGTCTAGGGATCAAGTGAATATTTTTGAAATAAAAATTATTTAAGCAATATTTACCAAATCCAGTCTTCCAGGACGACTTCTTACTTTTTTGCAAATTGTGGGAAAAAACTCAAATTAACGGCGTCAATTAAATGACAAAAAAATGGCGAAAATGATGATTTTGCTCATTTTTATTGTAAAGATAAGAAAATTAATAATCTGTATTTCCACCATTAACACGAATCACACAATTACAGCGATTTGGCATGCTTAAGATGAGTTCATCAAAATCACTTTGAGGAATGGTCGCCCATGTGTTTTGTAAAAAATCAAAATATTGTTGTAGAGTATGTACGGTATGCATACTCGGCACAGCTCTTCTTTGAAGCATATCCCATGCGTGCTCAATTGGATTGAGGTCTGGCGATTGAGCAGGCCACGGCAGAACGTTGATACGAGCTTCGGCAAGAATGCGTGTTACGACTCTAGCCGTGTGTGGACGTGCGTTGTCATGCATTAGTTGAAATGAATCACCCAACTGGCCTCGCAAAGGGATGATAACATCTGAAACAATCCTCTTTGCGTAAACTTGAGCATTGAGGTTACCCGTGATCCAAATGAGATCGGTTCTTCCGCCGATCCAAATACCGGCCCATATCATTATTGTTCCCCCACCATATGGATGAACTTCCTGACAATATCTCAAACGTTCATGCGTCCAGATGTTCTCCAAACTCGAGTACGTCTTGTATCCGGTCTCATACCGAAGCGGGATTCATCCGAAAAGCACACATAGCGCCAGTCTTCTTCCTCCCAGTTTCTGTGTTCGCGAGCCCATCGTAAACGGGTCCTGCGATTGCAGGGTGCAATAGGTGGAACTCTGAGCGGCCTTCGGGATCGCAGACCCACTTCACGTAAACGATTTCGGATTGTTTGATCGCTTATTAGCAAGCCTGAGGAGCTGTGGAGCCTCGTAACCAACATCATGGCGGTCATGGTACGATTCCGTCGAGCAGTATTTTGGATATACCGGTCCTGTCTGCGAGTCGTGATGCGAGATCGTCCTCCATGTCGCTCGGCCACGCTGCCCGTCATGCGATAGCGCGTCCAGAGGCGACTTATGACGCTCTGTTTAGTGTTAAGAGTGAAAGCCACAGCACGTTGCCTGGAACCAGCTTCCAACATTCCGACGGCTCGCATCATCACTTCTCGGGTTAAATGATGTCGTCTCTCCATAATAATGTAAATTGTTTCGGTTCCGATGCAGATATTGTAATGATTTTGTCAAAACGCTATTACTCATTTTTATACAAAACCACATTGACAATCGATTTTCTTCTTATTATCGAATTTTAAACAATATTCCTTATTTAAATGTTAAAACTCACTAAAAAGTATCAATAGCGATACAAAAAAGTTAATATAATTAACCCTAATTGCAGCAATACTCTTAAACGTACTTGATCCCTAGACATTTTTGATGTGTGTATTTCGCTAATAGTCAATTACTACCATATAAGTCGAATTTAAAAATGTACAGTGGGCAAAAGGTGAAACCGAAAGGTAAACTTTTTTTTTTTTATTGTGACTTAAACTTAAACTTAAACCCCTATGTTCAATAGAAATTAACAACCGCGTGTTACACAATCTTAATTTAATAGTTATCAATAACGAGTTCAGTCCTTCACTGCTGGGACGGGACTGGATGCGGGCTTTTGGTATTTGTTTCCCACGTTTGGAGACCGTCAACCTTGTTCGCGGAGGAACACCCAAAACCTCAGAAGCAGCTATCGGTGAGTTAAACAAGCTTTTTCCAAATGTTTTTAAGTCGGAAATCGGTACTTTTAATAAGGACGTTATTAAACTGGAAGTGGAGAAGGGCGCGGTTCCCGCGTGGCGACGGGCGCGGCCCGTGCCGCACGCGCTGCGCCCCGCAGTCGCTGCGGAGTTGGAGCGGCTGCAGCGTGAAGGAATCATCTCACCGGTTGAGTGGAGCGAGTGGGGCACGCCGGTAGTGCCGGTTATCAAAAAGAACGTGCGTTTGTGCGGTGATTTTAAAAGTACTCTTAACCCTGTTTTAATAGATGACAGTACCCAATTCCCAGGATAGAGGACATCTTTGCGTCAATGCATGTTGGACAGATTTTTGCTAAGATTGACCTCAGTAACGCCTATTTACAATTTTTATTAGATGAATCATCAAAAAAGCTGTGTACGATTGTTACACTGCAGGCTATGTTTTGTTTTAATAGGCTCCCATTTGGCATTAAATGTGCACCTAACAAATTTCAAAGAATTATGGAGAAATTATTTCGCATGCCATTGGTAACCTGTTATTTAGACGATTTGACTGTTTGTGGATTAAACGAAAATGATTTATGGGAAAGGTTATTACAGGTCTTCAAAATTTTATCGCAATGTGGGTTAAAAGTAGCACCTAAAAAGTGCAAATTTTTTCAAAAATCTATTTCTTATTTAGGATACGTTATTGATGCAGAAGGGCTTCACACAGAAATAACTAAAGTTGATGCGATTTTAAAAACACCTATTCCGACAAACACCAGAGAATTGAAGGCTTTCTTAGGTCTTATAAATTATTACGGAAAATTTATAAACAACTTAAGCAGCACGTTGAGCCCACTTTATGCGTTATTAAAAAAGGGAACACAATTTAATTGGCCGGATGTATGCAATAGCGCATTTGAAAAAGTAAAAAAAGAATTGCGTAATTCTTCTGTATTGGCACATTATGATCCGTCACTGCCGACATTCGCCATACGGTGTGGGCGCCGTGCTGTCACAGCGTGCCACCGATGGCCGCGAACTCCCGGTACTGCATGCGTCGCGTACCTTATCTGCCGCAGAAAAAAAAAATGCACAGATATGTCGTGAAGGTCTATCTATTATTTTTGGAGTTACTAAATTTCACGATTACATTTACGGTCGCGAAATAACATTGGCAACGGATTGCAAGCCTTTGGCGGCAATTTTCA